ATTTTTAAGCATTATGTAATTTCACAATTTGCACAGCTGCAAGTACTTTGTAAAGAACTTTATATAATCAAGTGTTAAGGCAAAGAATATCTTAGTTTATAATGCTGATGGGCTCAGTTTTATGATTTATTGTTATTAATGAATACTTTTAAAGTACTAATAAGTAATAACCAGGTATATAATAGTTCACTTTTTTATAATGGTGAGCATTTCAAGTTTTTATGTCTTTATTCTTTTAACTAAAACTCTCAATAAAAGTTAGACTGTTAATTGATCATGCCCAAAGCTGATGTTCATTCTTCTTTGTAAGACACTAGCTGGATTTGGAATTAGATGGCTCGGTTCTAATTCTGGTGCTATTGATGACTAGCATTGGGACTTTGGTTAAGTCACTCTGAGCCTTGGTTTTTTAGGTGTGAATTAGATGAGTGCTTTACCTATTTGCCAGGAGTGTTACGTGGTCCCAAAGTGTTTTGCAAATTTTGAAACAGAGTTTAGATTGCTTCCCAAGTATCCTGGAATGGTTTCTCTCTGTTTTTGCCCTTTCCCATCCTTCTTCCTCATAGTTGCCAGTGTAGTTTTTTCAAAATGCAAGATCACATTGTGCCATTGGTACAACCCTGCAAGGGCTTCACAGTGCTGAATTTGGGTAATATCCTCATGTTATACCTCATGTTACATATCCTTACTCTTGCTCACTGTGCTTCTTGGTTTTTCTCAGTGGTACTCAGTCATTTTCCTCTGTTAGGTTTTGTCCCACCTGTTCCAGCAACTGAAACATTGTTCTCCTCCAGTCTCCTCTAAGCCTGGTTGGCTTATCCTCATCCTTTAGATCTCAGATCAAAGAGGTCTTCCATAGCTACCATATAAAACTGGCATTATTACTGTCTTGGTTCCTGTCACTCTCCATCTGCCCCCCCAGTTTCAGATTATGAAAATTGTTTCATTGCCTTGATTATTTATGTGTTTACTTGTTTATCAGTTTTTCTCCCTTGTTAATGTGAGAGTAAGGATAGTGTCTATTTTGTTCTTTATTGCTTGTGCTTAGTACAGTACCTGACACATAATGGGTGTTTATATTTATTTAATAAATGAATCTTAAGGTATTGTTTTACCTCTTTTAAAGAAGTACGTGAACTTTTTTCTTTTTTTTGTAACCTGTGATTTTTTTGTAAATACACAGTTAATCTGAGTCATCTTTAGGTTGATTAATGTGTAGGACTGTAACAACTTTTGGGAGGAAAAAGAATCAGCTGCATGTGTAAGTGTAAAACTTGTCATCTTTTATTTTTAAAGTTATATAGATTATGGTAACTAGTTATACAAAATGGCTGAACAGAAAAAAATGCCATATTCATGAAATCTGTAGGAGTGTAACCTTTTTTATCATTTGTAATTTTCTTTTGAATGGTCTCTGAATTTAGAAACAAGGAGTTGTCACTGTATAGTGAATGGAAGTGCTTTGAATCCAACTGGGGAAGGCTGAAGGTTTTTTAATGTATGTCACTCACGAGGATTTCCTTTTTGTGCCTGTATTTTTGCTCAGGTGGACTGGAATATGTAAAGTAAGATGGGCGAAAATCGTAGCTGTGGCGCAGTTGGTTGCATGTCCGACTCTTGGTTTCGGCTCAGGTCATGATCTTATGGTTGTGAGGTTGGGCCCTGTGTCGGGCTCTGTGCTCAGCGTGGAGTCGGCTTCAGATTCTCTCTCCCTTTCCCTCCCATTCACTCTCTCTCTCTCAAATAAATAAATAAAATCTTTTTTTTTTTTAAGATTTTATTTATTTATTTGACAGAGAGAGAGTTAGTTAGCGAGAGCAGGAACAGAAGCAGGGGGAGTGGGAGAGGGAGAAGAAGGCTTCCCGCGGAGCAGGGAGCCCGATGCGGGGTCATGATCCCAGGACCCTGGGATCATGACCTGAGCCGAAGGCAGACGCTTAACGGCTGAGCCACCCAGGCGCCCCTCTTTTTTTTTTTTTTTTAAAGATTTTATTTATTTGACACAGGGAGAGGGAGAGAGCAAGCACAAGCAGGGGGGAGCGGCAGGCAGGGGAGAAGCAAGGCTCCCTGCTGAGCAAGGAACCTGATGTGGGGCTCGACCCCAGGACCCTGGGATCATGACCTGAGCCGAAGGCAGACGCTTAAAGGCTGAGCCACCCAGGCGCCCCAATAAATAAAATCTTAAAAAAAAAAAAGTGGAGCTGTGCAGATGTTACTTATATGCATATGAACTTTTTAGCACCCAATATAAGACCCTCATGCCTCAGCCCTGCTGATTTCACCAGCTCTTGGAAGCCAGGTTCTTCCAGATGCTTTTGCATATTTTCCTTTGTTGAAGAATGTACATCCTCTCTACCCCCAAGGTTGTCTGACTGGTTTTTTTCCTCATCTTTCAGTAGTTAGCTGAAGCATCATCTTCTCTGTGAGATCTTTCCTGTCCCTCTAAGCAGTTCTAGAAATTTCCTTTCTCTATTCTCCTGTTGTACCTTGTCTTATGTAGAACACTGTTGTTCTCTTGGTCTCAGAATTCCATTGTATATCTCTCTACATGTGTTTCTCTTAGCCTTCCTAGCATTTAGCACTTAGGTGGTGCTGGGTAAATAGTTCATGAATAAATGAATGGATAGACAAACTACAGTAACACTAGCTAATACTTATTGAGTATGTGCCAATCACATACTATGTGCCTTATCATTTACCAGTCATCGTTGTATGTGCTTTATACATGTTTACTTATTTTATCTATCGTAATAACATTATGAGGTAGGTACTGTTGTTGTCCCCTTTTATAGATGAGAAAACTAAGATAAAGAGAGATTGATTTGTTCAAAATTCCACAAGTGGTAATAGAACAGGAAATCAAACCCAGGCAGTCTGGCTCTGGAAACTGCATTCTTTACTTACCATGTCTTACTTCCTCTTCACATAAATCGGTGAATTATTGAACCATAGTTTTTTTTTTTCTATATTTGCCTTATTGCAAACAGTTGAGAAGTACAGAAAAGTTATTTCTTGTAGGAGATTGATTCTCATATGTAATCTGTCATCACTCTATATCAATAAAATAGTAACGAAGATCATCTGTTGGGGTATGAATAAGTTTTTTGTAATAACTTTATGATGATATTTGATATGTGACTTTCATTAGAATTCTTGTTTATTAAACATAATTTACTTACTGTTACTCATAAACTCTGTCCGTACATACTTTATATAGGCCACTTTATCCTGGAAGTTACCCGGTGAATAAATTTTGAACGATCACATCAATTTGTAGAGTTAGTATTCCATTGGAATTAGCACGGCCAAATGAACGATGAAAGTGACAACTTTAGATTCAAAATTCTGACTTGTTGCTTCTAAATCAAAGCTATGAACCTCAATAAAATCAAAACAAGATAAAAATACATGATACTAAAATATTTGTGGATGAAGTAAAATATAATGTGTTTGATTTTCTTAAAATAATCTGAGAGTGGGGATATGAATAAAACAAGATTGGTCATGATTTGATAATTGTTGAAGAATCATTTTTGTTTTCATACAACTTTCCATGTATTACTTGAGCCATTTAATGGCAAAAGAAAGAACATTTCTCCAATACTTCATGTTTTGCTTTTATTTTTCCCTAGTAAGTAAAAAAATGCAAAAGAGGCTTTTCAATTTATGGTTGTTTAATGTAATTTAATTTTGTGACTGATTTGAATATGACATAATGACAAAGACACAATATAATGCTTAGATTTTTGTTATCTTGCTAATTATAACTTTAAGTTATCATTAGTTAATAACTCAAGACCCAGTGTATACTCAGGAAGAGGTTCATTGTTGACAAGAATGATGTAGATCTATATTTTATGTTAGTTAGGTAATCTGTATTAGTTAAGGTAATGCTAGATGCTATAAACAGACAATTCCTAAAGTTTTACCATCTTAGTACAATAGAAATTTATTTCTTGTTTATGTAAAGACCAAAACCAGGTAATACTTATCATTAGTGGCTCATCCCCCTTTCAGATACAAACTCCTTTGATTTTCTGGAACCACCATTTTCAACAGATGGCTTCATGGGTTACCATGAAGATGGAGAATAAGGACTACCACACCTGGAAGGTGTATTTATTTATTGATTGATTGATTGATTGATTTATAAAAAAGATTTTATTTATTTATTTGAGAGTGAGAGAGAGCACAGAGGGAGAGTGAGAGGGAGAAGCAGACGCCCTGTTGAGCAGAGAGCCTGATGTGGGGCTCGATCCCAGGACCCTGAGATCATGACCCAAGCTGGAGGCAGATGCTTAACCGACTAAGCCACCCAGGCACCCACACCTGGAAGGTTTATATGGGTCAAGCCTAGTAGTGATGCATGTCACACGTCTTTCTTCATTACATTGATCAGAAGTTAGTGTTATGGCCATACTAAACTGCAAGCCAAGCTGAGAAATGCAGTGTAGGTTGATGAACAGCTATCTACTCTGGCCACCTTATCATTATATATCTATTTTACTCCTCTTTGTGTTAAGAACAGTGAAGGATCTTAGATTTTACCTTACTTGCAAGCTAACAAGTTAGCTGCTACCACTGTGGACACTGGCAAAAGGCAGGAGAGATCCTGGGTCAGAGATAAAGGACTTTTACTCATACCATAGCAAGCAAGCAAGGTCAGCTCCCCGTTTGCACTGGTTCTCCTTGCTCCTAAATTCCACTAGGGCAGTGTGAGGGGACCTACATAGATGATATGCATGCAGTGGTTTTTATCACAGCTGAGGAACCCTGAGCTTAGGAAACCTAAATCCTTTATAATGGGTTACAAATAAGCCTCAGCTTTGCTCTGGAGGGAGGTACTGTCTTTATTATACCAAAGAGTGGATAGACTTATACTTTATCCCCGAGGAAGGCACTATCTCTGTGTAGGCTGCTTGCCGTAAAAACATCTTTGAAAAAACAGTCCAAAATAAAAGCTGTCATTTAAAAATATTACTCTTCCCAATTCTAATTTTTTTTTTCATAGTAACTAGTACACCTTCATTAGGCTTTAAGACACATTTTTGTTTACAACCTTAATACAGCCACATTTTTACTTTATAAAAATCAAGTCTCCCAGTAAAAATGGTATTTTACCACACTAATCTTTAAATTCCATCACTAAAAATGTAGTTATACACACCAATTTCTAACCTCTTGAAACATTCTGCAGAATAGATTTTAGTCACTGGAATGAATAGCTGCTCAGAAAAACAGCACTGCTTCAGCTGTGATAGGATTTGATAGTCAATATTCTTGTCGTCCAGTAAAAAGATTTCATGGGCATCAACTCCTTGTGGTTTCATCAATCAAGAGAACGTTTCTGAGCAGCTTCTGAGCAAGCATTTCTTAACAGGTTGATCACAGATCTGGGGTCATCACTCCTCATAATGGCGCTGCCAGACACAATCATGTTAGCTCCTGCCTCTGCACATTTATGGATGGTATCCGGACCTACTCCACCATCAACTTCTATGTCCAAGGATGGGAACTGAGTCCTCAACCAATGAACCTTTGGCATCATATCTTCCATGAATTTCTGCCCTCCAAACCCAGGTTCCACTGTCATAACCAAGGCCATATCTGTCTGATTAGCCCATGGTGCCAAATACTCAACTGTAGTTCCCGGTTTGATGGCAAGGCCAACCTTCATCCCATTCTCCCGAATGTCTTTAATCAAAGCCCCTGGGTTCTCGGTAGCCTCAAGATGAAAGGTGTATTGATTGGCTCCTGCTACAGCCATTGGTTTTACCCACTGTTCCGGCCTGGACACCATCATGTGCATATCAAAGAAAGGGTCCTGGCCTAGCTGCTTTTGGAGGCTTTCTACCACAGGGTGCCCAAAGGTGATGTTGGGAACAAAATGCCCGTCCATTACATCCAGGTGCAAATAATCGGCCCCAGAGTCCAGCATCCGGAGGCACTCAGCCCCTAAATTGGCCAAATCGCTGTTAAGGATGGACGGGCCAATCTTGCAGCCAGACGCCATGGTGCTGGTTCCCAAGAGCAAGTTATCCACGAGTCCCCCGGTAAGACGAAAGTGTCGCCCCGATTGGCTGCCCCCAATTCTAATTTTTAAAAATTGGTGTAACAGGGGCACCCGGGTGGCTCAGTCGGTTGAGTGTCTGAATCTGGATTTCGGCTTGGGTCATGATTTCAGGGTTGTGGGATTGAGCCTGGCGTCGGGCTGCACTGCAGAGTCTGCCTGTGATTCTCTCTCTCTTCCTCTGCCTTTGCCCCTACCCCTGCTTGTGAAATAAATAAATAAAATCTTTCAGAAGTTATTTAACAATTTCTAGTGTATTTTTCGTTATTTATTTATGCACATATATCTATAGTATGTTTACAAAATAGGAATTTTATTAAATGGGCAATTTTATACTCTACTTTTAAATTTAACATCCTATACTATTGTTTATTTCACTTAGAGTCTTTTTTCTTCACCTTTATTGGGATATAATTAATGTGTAACATGGTATAAACTTAAGGTGTACAACATGTTGATTTGATACACTTACATACTGCATAAATGATTACCACCATGGCCAGCTGACACCTCCATCACCTCACATAATTACCATTTCTTTTGTTGTGGTGGTAACATTTAAGATTTGCTTTCTTAGCAGCTTGATGCTTTATATTAGAATCCCAGAACTTACCCATCTTTTAACTGGAAGTTTGTACCCTTTGACCAACATCTTCCCATTTCCCCTAACCCTCAGCTGCTGGTAACCATCATTTTGCTATTTTTCTGAGTTCAGCTTTTTTAGATTCCACATATAAGTTAGATCATATAGTATTTGTCTTTCTCTGTCTTATTTCACTTAGCACAATGCCCACAGGTTTCATCCATGTTTTTGCAAATGGTAAGATTCTCTTCTTTCTCATGGCTGAATAATATTCCATTGTATATATATACACCACATCTTTTTTTTTTTTTTTTAGTGGGGGTAGTGGCAGAGGGAGAGGGAGAGAGAGAATCTTAAGCAGGGTCCACACCCAGCCTGGAGCCCGACACACTGGACTTGATCTCACAACTGTGAGATCACGACTTGAGCTGAAATCAAGAGTTGGATGCTTAACCAACTGAGCCATCTAAGTGCCCCTATACCAGATATTTATCCATTCATTTGTTAATGGACACTTAGGTTGTTTCCATGGCTTGGCTATTGTGAATAATGATGCAGTGAACATGGGAGTGCAGATTCCTTTTTGAGATCCTGTTTTCATTCCCGTTGGTTATATACCCAGAAGCGGGATTTTTTTTTTTTTTTTAAAGATTTTATTCATTTATTTGACAGAGACACAGCGAGAGAGGGAACACAAGCAGGGGGAGTGGGAGAGGGAGAAGCAGGCTCCCCTCTGAGTAGGGAACTCAGTGTGGTGCTCGATTCCAGGACTTCAGGATCATGACCTGAGCCGAGGACAGATGCTTAGCCAACTGAGCCACCCAGGCACCCCTTTAAAAATACATGAAAAATTGTACAGGTTGTTCTTTCTAACAGCTTCCTAAGTTTTATCAAAATTAAGGTTGTTAACCAAAATTAGCATTCTCATATGACTTCTATTTCAT